CCCCCGAGTAGGTGAGAATTGATCAGCTCCACACCACCCATGCCAGCTAATTTTTTGTATTTTTTAGAGTTGATTGGGTTTATCACCATCGCTACATTTTTCACCTGGCCGCATTCGTTAGCCAGGCCTGTGTTTTGTCAACTGCTGCTCAAGGGATCCACCCACTTGGCTTCTCATAGTGCTGGGATTTACGTAGATGTTGAAGTTCCACATTGCCGCTGAATGTCAGTTAACATCTTTTTTACTCAAATCTCCTGCCAATCCGCCACTTTCCTGTGCTGTGGTGCCTTGAGATTGTTCTACTCATGTGATCCATTCTTGCCCTCGGCCTCAGGAAGTGCTGAGATACAGGTGTGATGCCACCCACGCCCAGGTAAGTTTTCTTTTTTTCTTTCTTTTTTCTTTTAGAGATGATTTCCAATCTCTCTGTGCCCAGTAGCTGGATGCAATGGGCGATATTGGGCTCACTGCAACCTCCCGCCCTCCAGGTCAAGCAATTCTCCTGCCGTCAGCCTCTTCTGAAGTAGCCGGGATTTCAGGCATGTTGCCAACACATCTCTCGTGCCTGGCTAATTTTTGTATTTTTACAAAGAGACAGGGTTTCACCTTGTTGGACAGGATGGTCTCAAACTCCTGACCTCGTGATTCGCCCGTCGTCTCAGCCTCCCAAAGTGCTGGGATGACAGGTGTGAGCCATCATACTTACCCATAACATGCTCACATTTTCATTTACCTTCTTGAATACATCAAACAGTTATAGTAGCTGTTTTAATCTCTTTATTAATTCTATCTTTGTCATTTCATTTCATTGGTTTTTCTCCTCTTCCTGGGGTATAATCCTTGCTTCTTGGCATACCTGGTGATTATTATTTTTTAGAGACAGGATCTTGCTGTGTCGCCCAGACTGGAGTGCAGTGGCGCCACCATAGCTCCCTGCAGCCTCAACCTCCTGGGCTTCAGCGATCCTCCCACCTCAGCCTCTCAACTGGCTGGGTCTACACGTGTGCACCACCTCCCCTGGCTAATTTTTTAGTTTTACTTTTGTAGAGATGATGTTGTCCAGTCTGGTCTTGAACTCCTGGCCTCACTATGTTGCCCAGTCGGGTCTTGAACTCCTGGCCTCAAGCTGTCCTCCTGCCTCAGCCTCCCAAAGTGCTGGGATTATAAGTGTGAGCCACATACACTTTCCTGCCATCCCTGGTCATTTTACTGGATAACCGTAGGTAATTGTGAATTTTACCTGGTTGGGCGCTGAATATTCTTCTGTTTACACAATATACTCTCTTGAGGCACTTTGTCTGGACAATGGTTACAGTGACGGCTTGGAAATAGCATGCCAATCCTTTTTCCTTCCTTTTTTTTTTTTTTTTTGAGAGGGAGTCTCCAGTCCTGTTCCCCACCCACAGGCTCGGCAACTCCAGTGCAGCAATGTTCAACTCACTGCAAACCCCTCTGGCCCTCTGGCTTCCAAGCGATGCACCCACCCTCAAGCCTCACCCAGGTAGCCCTGGGACCTACACACGTGCAGCCCTAAACCAACAAGCCTGGGCTAATTTCTTATTTATATGTAGCAGAGGGGGTTTGCAGCGCCAAGTTGGCCAGGCTGGTCTCAACACTCCTGACCTCAGGTGATCCGCCCCGGCCTCGGCCTCGCCAAAAGTGGCTGCGATTCCCAGGCTATGAGCCGCCATGCCCAGACGTGTGAATCCTTTTGAGAAGCTTGGGCAAAACTCAGAGGCACCCTTAAAGTCTGGGGGCCCAATTCCTGCCCGCCCCCACGAAGGCATGACCTCCTGAACGTGTGAGCTCAATGGCCCCATGTACTTATACGAGCCGCTTTTTCAACTTGCCTGGCTGGGAAACACGAACGTCCACTTCCCAGCTTTTGTGGGGGCTTTGGAATGATTGCTCCTGTTTCATGGTGTGATTGCGTTCCCTGCCTTGCTTGCGGTAATTTCCTCCCGTGCAGTCGAGCTGACCGCCAATCCTCAGCTCCAGAGTCAAGAGGTACTCCTCGGCAAAGCGCCAGAGTTTTGTTTTTTGCCACATCTCTCCTACCGGGAT